CAAGATTCTGCTGGTACCAATGTCAGGATCTGCCCAAGAAGTGCAAAAGCATGGTATGAGTACAACCGACCTAATATACTTAGTAAGTATCGAGCCCAACCCCGATGAAATAGTAACGAGGCTAAGACAAGACACATGGTATAAACCTGAGCAATTATATATTAAAAGTAACTAAATAACAAAGTAAAGAATCAAAAGTAACAACAAGATAGGGACATAAAAAAAGGACAACAATCGGGAACATAAAGTAAAGCATCACAGAGTAAACCTCATTCACAAGTAATTAACGAAACCGCAGAGCCAAGTTCACAATCCATATATCAAGTAAAAACAATGGAATCAACAAATATGCAAGGCATTACCCTTCATGCTTTTACTCTCATCCTCACCATATAATATAAAAACAAGTGCATGGCATCACCCTTCGTGCTTTTACTCTCATTCTCACATGATAATAATAATGATGATGACAATAATAATAAAAAAAGCATGTGCACTGCATCACCTTCCGTGCTTTATCCTCACGTTCACTCAAGAAATAATATCAATATGCAAATAAGGCATGGCAACAACCTTCGTATTTTTCACTCTTCCTCACCAAGCAATCACAACAACATAATACCAAGTAAGGTGGGAAGCAAATCAACTTGGACAATAATATTTGAACACAACTCATCATATGAGAATCTTTCAACAATTAATGCCAACAAACCATAAATAATTCTCACGTTCTAAACACCCAATATGCAATAATCTCAACATAAGAAGTAACTTGAAAGTGAGTAATCAAAGGATTAACAATCTATCTAAGGCATGGTAGATATAATACACGAAATAACATGGTACAAGTAAGGTAAATTCCACCTGCATGCTTATCCCATGGCTCACGCATATACACTCGTCATCTTATATATACATTGCCCCCAACACACAATTCACATAGCAAATAGACTCGATTCTACCTTATTTCCCTCAAATCAAGGTTAACCAAGATACTTATCTCTTTCCGAAATAAAATCAACAATCAACCACGGCTTTTCCTTTAGAACAAGCCTCCAAACTAACCGAATCTAGCCAAATATCGTTTAAACAATTCAAAACAAGCTTTATAAACTACCCACGAATGAAAAAGATTCAATCTTTAACTAAATTGGAAAAGTCAACAAAAAGTCAATCCAACCCCACTTGGTCGAAATCTGAGATTAGGACAAAAACCCGATTACCCATTCATTTCTAAGCCTGGATATGTATTTTGTTTCGAAATCCGACCTCAATTCGAGGACTAAATCTCAATTTTAAAAAATTTCTTAATTCTACCCAAACCCTCCAATTTCTACTTTGAAATCCATATATTTGATGATAAAATTCATGAAAAAGTAATTAAAATTGATTGAAAACAAGTTAAAGTTGCTTACCAATGAATTTGGGAAGAGAGTGCTCTCCAAAAATTGCCTCTATGGAGTTTAGGGTTGAAAAATGATGTTAAAATAAGCTAAGTCCCGAAATTCCCAACATTTACGCACCTGTAGATGTTGTGTTTGCATTTGCGGTTCGCAAAAGTGAACAGATTCGGATCCCTCTAATATCGCTAAATCAAAGAAATCCTCGTAATTGTGAACCATGGGCAATCAGCAAATACGAACAATGCTTCGAAAATGCGAAGTTGCCCTCAAGTCCACAGTTTCGCAAATGCGACATCCCCATCACAAATGTGGAGCCCTCCCTGTCCGCAAATGCGATACAAACTTCGCAAAAGCGAAGTGCCAGCCCCCAGCCCATCTTCACAAATGTGATACGTTGCCCGCAAAAGCGATGCTCGCATTTGCAAGTAGGACCTCGCAAATGCGAGATTTGTAGACCCTCAGCACCAGCCAATACTCAACTATTCCAAAACACATTCGAAACTCACCCGAGCCCCTCAGGCTCCAATATGAACATTCGCACAAATGTAATAACATCATACAAACTCGTTCGCTAGCTCAAATCATCAAAATAACATCAAAATCCAAGAATCAATCTTTAGAACTCAAGATTTTCAAGTTTGAAACTCAATTTTCCAATTTTTCACATAATACGCCGAAATACCCTCAAGGTCACCCGAGACCCAAACCAAATATCCATACAAGTCCAAAATATCATACGAATCTACCAGAATTGTCAAAATACCGATCCGAGGTTGTTTACCAAAAACGTTGACCTTAGTCAACTTAAGTCGTTTTTAAAGCCAAAAATCACATTTTCTTTAAATTTTCACCTATAAACTTTCCGAAAAATGACACGGAACATGGACGCAAGTCATAAATCATCAAATAAAGTTACCGGAGGTCTCAGAACACAAAAAAGAAGTTACTACTCAAAATGACCTATTGGGTCGTCACATTAATATTCGGTGTAAGTGTAAGTATTAAGTGTCTATTAGGCTATCTTGTCTAAACTTTGTTATATTATCAAGCATTTTCTTAATTTTCAAATTTTTTGGTATACTACATAGTATACTATGTTTACTAATGATTTTTTTTAGTATGTTAAACGACATTCATAGTGGGATGTCAAACTTTGTGAGACTAGTTTAGTAAGGATACTATTTTGCTTTTGCTTTGCTTTGTATCATTCTTCTTGATTTCATGTTGTTCCTATTTATCATATTTGTTTTATATTTTTTCGGTGATGTTATTAATATTGTCTTTTTTTTGTCTTTTTGTCTTCATGAGCCGAGGGTCTTTCGGAAACAACCTCTCTACTCCTTCGGGATAGAGGTAAGGTCTGCGTACATGCTACCCTCCCCAGACCCCACTAGTGGAATTTCACTGGGTCGTTGTTGTTGTTGTTAAACGACATTCATAATATTCTTTGTATACTAGTATACCATGAGGTATAATGTATAACACACCATAATTGTACTTGAATTATGATACATTTAATTTGAGTATGTTAAATGGTATTTACAGTATTCTTGATATATAATATACCATTATTACAATTGAATTATGGTATAGATGGTATTCAGAATATTTTTGGTATATTGGATCATATACCATGATTAGAGTTGAATTATGATATGCTGTGATTACTGGTATATTAAGTGATATCCACAATATTCTTGGTATACAGTATACCACGATTACAGTTGAATGGTATTTTCAAAATTATTGATATACTACAAAGTACATCATTGTTATTTTTGAATCATAGTATACTGAGTATGTTAAATATTATACTTAATATTTCCTGGTATACTATAATGTATACCGTAATTATTATTGAATCATGATATACTTGTTGAGTATATTAAATGCTATACCTCATATCTTGGTATAATATACATTGGTACACTATGATTAGTGTTGATTCATGGTATACTTTATTTGAGTATGTTAAATGGTATACCCAATATTCTGGTATACTACACATTGGTATACCATAATTAGTGTTGAATTATGGTATACTTTGTTTGAGTATGTTTAATAGTATGTATCATCAATATATTTGGTATACTATACATTTGTATACAAGGATTACTATTGAATTATGGTATTCTCATATGTTTAGTATACTACACATTGGTACTATTATTAGTGTAGTATATCAAATTCGAGGATTTTGTCGATTTAACTATAAAGAACAAGAAAAAGTAAAAAAGAGTGACAAATATTTATTTTAAAAAACCTAAATTCTCTTAGAAATTTGAAAAAAGTCATCTACAAAAATAAGATAAAAATTTCAAAAAGAAGAAAGTGATACAAAAACTGTTGGTAATTATAATCGATTAATAGTTGTGTAAAAAATATTCTACTAGTAATTTTAATAATCAATTTTTTTTTTACCTAGAAAGAACAAAAACAAAACAAAAATGAAAGAAAATGATAAATGTTTTACTAGAGAAATTTTACTGAAAAAATAACAGAAAAAACTAAGATGAAAAAGAATAATAAAAAGGAAAAGTGACAGATATTTTGGATGAAAAGATTTTACTGAAAAGAACAAAATTAAGAAAAATAATAAATACAAAAAAATAACAAAAAGTTAAGACAAAAAAGTGAAAAAGAGCGAGAGATTATTAATAGAAAGAAGAAAAAAGAATAAAAAATAAAAGGAAAAAATAGAAGAAAGTAAGGAAAATTAATAAAGAAACTAAAAACGGTATAGGATTTTATTACAAAGAAACAAATAAAGTAAAAAACAACAATAAAATGAAAAAACTAAAAGAAAGTGAAAAAAGTGAAAAGTATTTTGGAGGAATAGATTTTACTGGAAAGAATAAAATTTTAAAAAATAAAGAAACACAACAAAAAATCATAAAAAATTAATAAAGTGAAAAAAGAGTGCAGGATTGTTACTAGAAAGAACAAAAAATAACCAAAAAAAAAAATGAAACGAAAAAATAACTACAATTTTTTTTGAAAATAATGCAATATTTTATAGAAAGAAAAAATAAAGTAAAATAATAACAAGAAAATAAGAAAAAATAAAAGAAAGTAAAGAGGAGAAAAAAAAGTGAATAACAAAAGAAAAAATAAGGGAAAAAAAGACAAAGGGGGAGGGCTTTAGGTGCAGCTTGAGCATAAGAAGGGAAGGAGCGTCCAGATAATAAATTTTTTCGGTTATTTTTCAACAAAATGAGCGATTTAGTCATAAATTTTTTAAAAATGGCTATTTGCGTCTAATTTTCTTTACACATACCCTTAGCAATCATTCCCAATGGGTTGAGTAACAAAAAAGAAAAATTAATTCATACTCTTATTTTACTACTATAACAACAAAGATTTTTTTCACTATTTTCTCAAATATCTGAGTGTGAATAAAAAATGTATAAGCTATTCACTAGCTGACGCGTGTCACCAGAGAACTCATATTTTGACGTGGCGGAACCACCGGAGAGGAATGTCGATTTTCCCAAAATTGACGTGCATCTCCATTTCATTTCATGTCATTTGAATTTCATTTTACATTCCATTTCTGAATTTCATTTCTCTATTTTCACCTTACACACAAAGACACATACAACACTTTGATAATAGAGACAAACATATAAAAATAGATCCTATACACAAAAAATAATTCTAATTACGAAATCTTTTGTTACATTTTCAAAGAGAATTTAGGAAAAAAAAAAGAAATTCATATGAATGGAGACAAATATCAGAAATAGGAGATAATTGGGTGATTGAAACCCTAATCCTACATATTCCGATGCTAAATCGGCTGTAATTTTTGAATTGTTTTCAGCTTAAATTTAATCTCCGGTACGCAAATTCGAATTAATTAATATTTTCCCGTTTGATCTTTGGTTGATTATTGCTAAATTAATCAAGCTAGGAATTTGCAGATTGGCGAGGAAAATGCCTTCGAACGCGGATGTAGATCGGCAGATCGAGCAATTGATGGAGTGTAAGCCGCTGGCGGAAGCGGAGGTGAAGATACTGTGTGATCAAGCGAGGGCTATACTTGTGGAGGAATGGAATGTGCAGCCGGTGAAATGTCCAGTAACTGTTTGCGGTGATATTCATGGACAGTTCTACGATCTCATCGAGCTTTTTAGGATTGGTGGAAATGCTCCCGATACCAATTATCTCTTCATGGGCGATTATGTTGGTGAGTTTTTTGAGATTTTGGTAATGGTTTTGGATTTTCGGAGATTTTATGGTTTTGGAATTTAGTAGGGCTGTGAATTTCGTGTTGAATTGTAAAAGTTAAGGTTTGGTTATCTATCGATCCTAAACTAGTTAGGCCCAGCTATATATGACTTCTAGGTACCCATTTATTTAGAGGATTCATTACATTTAGACTATTTTTTTTGTTTTCTTATGATGGTGGTGTTTGGGCAGCTTTTGCCACCTTGACTATTCTATCGGGTACCTTCTACTTCCAACTAGCACAAGTATCGGGTAGGTTAACTCTGCCCACCAAGGATTATGTGGGAAGAAATCACCTAGTGTTTCAGTCTACAACAATCCTCCTCTTTTATCTGTCTGGCAGGCTATGCTTTGTTTAGCACCCAGATCGAGTGGTAGTTGCTAGTTTCGTCATGGCTTGCCTTTTGATTTTCTCATGTATGTAATAAATTTGGCATCGCAATTGTTGACATGAATGGAAAGTGCAAATACAAACAGTGCTAGTGTTAGTATCTCTTGAAGAATGGTGTAGGTTGTGCAACATTGTATAGAGTGATGTGTAGCTTTTATACTGAATATCTGTAGTTTGTTTCAAGTGTGAACATCTCACGAATGATTCTGCCTAAGAGAAATTTTGCATTTCATTGCTCAATCATTCAAGACATAAATGATTGTGATGCCATTCATCGATGGCTGAGTTACTGTCATGTGTCGTTCCTTGTTTTGACAATATATATTCAGCACATGTTGTTTGATAACAAATGGTGAGGCTTTACTAATGAATCATTATTGAGATGCAAGTTTTTAATGCGCTGGTGATTGGAAACTTGACAAAGTAAGACACCAGCCTTGATAGGAGGTGAATATGGAAGACTTTTCTCTCCATTAAGCGAATTTCAATAGCTTAAGATGTCTGAATTGGTCAAAGTTTTATAACATCCTCTTGGCACTTGCCGTACGTTAGGTGTGGAAAAAAAATTTGGCCCATCAAAAAGATGATGGCTGAAATGAGTTAGGAGTTATGCTTTCATTACCTGACAATTTAGTAGCTTGTCGTCTATGTAGATATTGTCCTTTTCCAGAATCCTTCGTAAGTGTGAGTGCAGGTTATTCCTGAAAGTAAGCATCTTGGTTGTTGGATAATCTTTTCTCAGAGTCGAAAGTTAGAGAAATAAGCCACTAAAATCTATTAGCTGTGAGGATTTGTCTTTCCGGACTTCCTTTTCATATAATTTTTTTCCGTTAGTTGAAGTACTCATTAAAAGCCTCGACATTGTTCTCTTTCAGTAAGAAATTTAACATACCAATTTCAATTGTGCATCAGAATGAGGCAAGATGAGGATAAAAAGTTGTACAAGTTAGCCAAGGTGAGAGAGAGGAAATCCCGGGACTTGGACCAAGTGAAGTGCATCAAAGACGAGGAAGGTAGAGTTTTGTTGGATGAGGCACTTATTCAACGGAGATGGAAAACTTACTTTCATAAACTCTTGAACGAGGAAGGGGATAAGAGCATTATATTGAATGACTTGGATCATTCCGAGAGTCGTAGAGACTTTGGGTATTGTAGACTTTGCGTATTGTAGGTGTATAATACTGGAGGAGGTAGAGGGGATTATGCGCAAGATGAGCAGGGGAAAAGCGACCGGGCCAGACGAAATCCCGGTGGAATTTTTGAAGAGCGCGGGTAGGGCTGGCCTGGAGTGGCTCACTAGGTTATTTAATGTCATTTTTAGGACGACGAAGATGCTCGAAGAATGGAGATGGAGTACGATGATCCCTTTATACAAAAACAAGGGTGATATCCAAAATTGCAATAACTATCGGGGTATCAAGCTACTAAGCCATACAATGAAAGTATGGGAGAAGGTAATGGAGCTAAGAGTAAGGAGGATTATGTCTATTTCCGAGAACTAGTTCGGATTTATACCGGGATGATTAACTACGGAAGCTATCCACCTTGTTAGGAGATCGATGGAGCAATATAGAGAGAGGAAGAGGGATTTACATATGGTGTTCATCGACTTAAAGAAGGTCTACGATAAAGTGCTGAGGGAGGTTCTGTGGAGATATTTGGAGGCTAGAGGTGTTCCTGTTGCTTACATTAGGACTATTAAGGACATGTATGATGAAGCTAAGACTCGGGCGAGGACAGTGGGAGGGGACTCGGAGCATTTCCCAGTTGTGATGGGGTTGCACCAGGGGTCAGCGCTCAGCCCCTTTTTTTTTTGCCGGGTGATCAACGCACCTCACGCGCCACATTCAAGGAGAGGTGTTGTGGTGCTTGTTATTTACAAATGGCATCATACTGACTGACGAGACATGAGGCAGTGTTAACGAGAGGTTAGAGGTTTGGAGGCAGACCCTAGAGTCTAAAGGTTTCAAGTTGAGCAGGACCAAAACAGAATACTTGGAGTGCAAGTTCAGTAACTCAGGTATTGGACGAAGACGTGAGGCTTGATTCACAAGTCATCCCTAGGAGAGAGAGCTTCAAGTGCCTTGGGTCAATTATACAAGGGAATGGGGAGATTGACGATGCTGTCACACATCGTATTGGGGCGGGGTGGATGAAATGGAAGCTCGCTTTCGGTGTTTTGTGTGATAAGAATGTGCCACCAAAATTTAAAGGTAAGTTCTATAGAATAGTGGTTAGACTGACTATGTTGTATTGGGCTGAGTGTTGGCCAGTCAAGAACTCTTATGTCCAGAAGATGAAGGTGGCTGAAATGAGGATGTTGAGATGGATGTGCGGGTATACCAGGTTAGATAAAATTAGAAATGAGGCTATTCGGGACAAGGTGGGCGTAGTCCCAGTAGAGGAGGAGATGCGAGAAGCGAGACTTTGATGGTTCGGGCATGTGAAGAGGAGAGGCACAGATTCCCCAGTGAGAAGGTGTGAGAGGCTAGTCTTGAGAGGGCCCAAGAAGAGGTAGAGGTAGGCCGAAGAAGTATTGGGAATAAGTGATTAAGCAAGACATAGCGATGCTCCAGCTTAGTGAGGACATGGCCCTAGATAGGAAGTTGTGGAGGTTGAGAATTAAGGTAGATGGTTAGGTAGTCGAGCATTGTCCTTGCGTGTTCCAATAGCTTGAGTGCATTGCTCAGTGTTGGTCTTGCGTTTCTTTTTCTTTAGATTTCTGTTATTACTTGTTGTTTGTTTCACTTCGGTTTCTGATTGCACCACTTAGTGTTAGTCTTGTATCATCGCTTCGATTTTCTGATAGGTTTGCTTGTTGTTGCTTCTTCCTTTTATCTTTCCTGAGTGGTGGTGGGCCTACTGGAAACAACCTATCTGCCTTTATATAGGTAAGGGTAAGGTCTGCGTACACACTACCCTTCCCAGACCCCACTTGTGGGATTTCACTGGGTTGTTGTTGTTGTAGTATTAGAATTCTGCAGTCGTTTCCTACTATTTATCTTTGTTTTTCTCCACAATACTGCCAAAGTGGCTTGTTCCCTGAACTCTAACTTTATATGTCTTGATAAAGTATATGTGTCAATATATGGAATTATGGATCCATAAACTGTAGGGTTGCATTAGTTTCATAAATAATTGGCACATTTTCCTTTCTACTATCATATTGTAGGACAAAGGCTTTTGAAGGTTTTCTTTTCTTTTTCTATTTATAATAATAATAATACTTTTGGATTTGAGATATGTTCCTTCATGTTAAGATTGCATACTACATTAGCCACAAGAACATCTGCTACTACTAATTTCTTCTTTCACTTTTTCTACAGCTATGTGTTTCATCTTCCCATACTTTACCTTTGTTTCTTGATATTAGCATTATTGGTTCCCCTGCTGGACAAGTATATAAGCATGCAAGTTTCAGCGAGAAAATTATATTGCCATAAACATCTATTATTAATAGGCTCTTCAATGGATGCTTATTTGCATCTATCATTAATGGTATTTCAATAAATGCAGACCGTGGATACTACTCCGTGGAGACTGTTACACTCTTGGTTGCTCTGAAGGTCCGGTATAGAGATAGAATCACGATTCTTAGGGGAAACCATGAAAGCCGGCAAATCACTCAAGTGTAAGTCATTTACTCTTTCGATCCTGAATATTATAATTCATGTTTTAGGTGCATAAAATGGCATATTGAAAAATTAACTTTTCTGTTGCACTATATGATCTGGTTTGTTATGAAGATGCGGTTGGGTACACGCGCGGCTTCTTATCTTCTTTCCCTCATCTCTTTGTACTTTGAAGCTCAGCTGCTTTACACTCTACCCCGTCAAAGAGGACACAAATAGAACTTTTATAGGCAGTGATGCCACAGTATCTAGAAAGTTGAAAACATGTATATCAGATGCACTTATCTTAGTTTAGGGGTGTTATGCACTTAGTTGATAGCTCACAGTATTAACTCTATAAGTTGACGTACTGGGGGGAAATAGTCTTTTCTGCATCATTTGGTGACTGATAGGTTGGTACATCTCTCTACTCCTTCGGGGGTAGGGGTAAGGTCAAGGTTTGCGTACACACTACCCTCCCCAGACTCCACTAGTGGGATTTCATTGGGTCATTGTTGTTGTTGTTGTTGGTGACTGATAGGTTGGTACATGTGTTTCCGTTTGTTACTGTTTCACCCATCGTGTAAGATATCAGGGTAGTGTTATTTTCAAAATGGTTCAGTTGGCGGAACTATCTTATTATCGTGTCTTTAGAAGTGACTTCATTATTCCTTTTTGCTTGTGCGCTCCTTAAATGAGATCTGAAACTTCAAATATTGACTTCTGTTTTGTCAAATGTCCTTGTTTTGGGTGTGGTCTTACTGATACGTGTCGCGTGCATGTGTGTGTGTGTGTGTGTGTGTTGAGTGTAGGTCTTCTCCCACTTCTCATCTCCTCCCAGAAAGAAAAAGAATATGTAGAGGAGAACTTGAGTTGGGATGGAGGTCTATTTAGTGTTCATTCTACTTAGAATTTACTGGCAGTGATAAACTCTCTCCCACAGACATATTCTGGGACAAGTATAACGCCTTCTGCTTTTAAGGAATCCCCAGGTATTGAGTATCTTGTTGAATGAACGGATAACTACGCCATGGTTGTCTTAGATCTGGACTATATGAGCAATATATCAGCAATCAAAGGAGCTATTACTAGAGGTAAATTGGAAAGAAGGGCGTCTGACTTTAGAGCAGGCAACAAGAGATGTGATCTATTATTAGTATTCTGAAAGTCTTATTTAAAGGCAATATGTCAATGACAAGGTACCAGTTTTTATAGAGGATTACATAATGGCTCTCCCATCCTCTTAAAAAAGATACCGGTTTATCTGCCTATCTTGGAATTGGAATGGGTTGAGTTGATCAGCTGGACTAAACCTACGATATCAACTAAACCAAGGATACTTTTAACAAAGATATCTAATGAACTGATCAGAAAGCAACCACCGCCACCTTGTACAGAAGTTATTTTTTTAATTCTATTTTTCTCCAAAAAGCATTCAGCCTCCATCCCCATGCAGGACCCATTATAAAGAAAAGAATCTGAGGGGTTTCATATATAAAGCTGACTCCATTTTAGGATCAGGTTTAATTGTATACTTTTGCTTTCAAGGTCTCAAGTTCGAAACACACTGGGTGCAAACAATTTCTGAGGGCCATCGGACTGGGTAAAACCTGAATTAACCGTGGTGCACTTGCGGGAAACTCCTTGCCGAGGGCCTGTGAACCCCTGGGATTAGTCGGGGCTCTTAGAGACTCGGACACCCGTGCAAAACAAAAAGAAAAAATGGACTATATGCATGAGGCTGAAACAGTGTTAGACTTAATTAATTCCTACAGATTAGAAGGGATTATTTTATTTTTATTTTTTGCATTTTTGGATGTCAATATCACAGGAAAATCTTAGTGCTGCTCTTATTAATAAGATTAAGAAACATTTATCCTCCAAAATATTCTTCTCCTTTTGTGGTAAATATCCATCCACATTCATCCTTTTCTTGTGCTTCCTGTTTGATAACATGATTTCGATGCATTAACTGCTAGTTCTCTACCTTCTCCTTTCTTTGTTCTCTGGGGTAGTGGTTTTGGAGTGAGCAGGTAGCATGTGATACTTTGTCCTTTTAATTAATACAATTTTGCCCTTTTCAACATCCAAGCTTCTAAAGTGACATTGTCTTCCCACTCATTTTTTTCTTGCTTAGGATATGATTGCTAAGTTTGTCCAGGCAAGACGTCATGCCTTCTAAGAAAAACAGTGGCGAAAGGTCATGAGGAGCTAGTTTTAAGGTCTAGGATTAAACACTTCCTGTTTGTGCCTTGCCAAATTTGTCTGGCTGAAGCTTCATTTTAAACCACCAGATAGATGTATAACATTTGACAGGCTGATCCAAAGAAAGAAAAAAAAGAACAGACATTTGACAGTTGTTATCAAGAGATATATCTATAGGCAGTTCGCTAGGAGGATTTACTTTTGCTATTCATTGTCCATTTACAGTTTACCGAGGCTGCAAGACTATGACTGAACTCAGTCATGTATGGTGTTATTGAGTTGCCTCTTTTCATGACAGGTATGGTTTTTATGATGAATGCTTGAGGAAGTACGGAAATGCCAATGTTTGGAAGTACTTCACTGATCTTTTTGATTATCTCCCGCTGACAGCACTAATAGAGAGTCAGGTTTGAGCTGTTACTCTACTCGCTTTTCATTTCAAGAGAAGTGCTGAATATATTTCAAGCTTAACTCTTCTTTTTGTTTTAGATATTCTGTTTACATGGAGGACTCTCCCCTTCTTTGGATACGCTGGACAATATACGATCATTGGACCGTATACAAGAGGTATTGTATTATGTGTGCTTAAAGTTTTTATGCTTTGATAATACAGTGCTTTCTTTTGTAATACTACTGGCTCTTCTGCTTGCTCCATCTCATGCCAACATAGCTAAGTATAATCAATATCTGCGCTCGAAAGTTTTAATTTTTTAATTGATATCCATTGATGGTTCAGCCCATTGCAATATAGTTTATAGATACAGTAATTTGTTATTAGGGTGTAGTTGTATTAATCAAAAGGAAGTGGTATGCGCATAGTTTACAGTAAGGTTCAATAGATATATAAAATCAAATTAAGGACCAAGACTTGAATAGAAAGATTGTCTAAGTGTTTACTGTTTTCCTTTCTTTTTTCTTATTTGTCCTGGCACTTTGCAAATGTGAAGTGTATCATAGAGGTCTTAATGCAGCTCGGTCACTAATTGTTTATTTTTTATGGGAAGGAATCTGCTTTTCAATTCCCTCATAGCTAGAGATGGGAATTTATTCCATTTACTTCTTCTGATATTTACCTATAGCGTATATCTTACAACAATGGTATGTTTTATTGCTTCTTGAATCCTTATAAAAAAAATTGCTTCTTGAACATGTGGTCTATGGCCCAGTGGTTTCCATTGTTCCTAACGTTTCATGATTTTTGTTCTATGCACATTATCATTGCTGATCCTCATCAGTTAAGTCATACTGTGGTTATCAGGTTCCACATGAAGGACCAATGTGCGATCTTCTGTGGTCTGACCCAGATGATCGTTGTGGTTGGGGAATATCACCCCGAGGAGCTGGTTACACCTTTGGACAGGATATTGCATCTCAGTTCAACCACACCAATGGGCTTACTCTGATTTCTAGAGCCCATCAGCTTGTCATGGAGGGTTTTAATTGGTGTCAGGTTCGTGAACCCCACTAACCAAACTACTAAAATTTTAAAAAAAAAACACCTATGTACCGTTTGTGTCTACTTAAGTTGAAATTGCTGCTTTTTAGTTATTACTTTGTATTTGACATGCTATTTGTTATAACTTCAACAGGATAAGAATGTTGTGACAGTATTTAGTGCTCCAAACTATTGTTACCGGTGTGGCAACATGGCTGCAATTCTAGAAATAGGCGAAAACATGGAGCAGAATTTCCTTCAGTTTGACCCAGCTCCACGGCAGATAGAGCCTGACACCACAAGGAAGACTCCTGATTACTTTTTGTGATCCCAATGCTTGCACTAATTGTTTGTAGTTCATCAAATGTCGTATTGCTGTAGATGTGTCTTAAAAAAGAGTTCTGTCATTTGAGGATTATCATCATTCTTTTGTGTTGTAGTCGTTCTGCTGGCTTTGAATGTGTGCCAGAGGTTCATCAGAGAGTTGAGAAGAGGCACTGAAGGTTTATCATGTATATTCTTTTCTAAAAGGGAGTAGCAATAACATGGTGCACTGTGTTCTATAAATTTGAATTTTGTGCTAGAAAACAGGCATTTCCCATCCCAAGTCATTCGTCAGTGACCGGCGAGGCACCAGTAAATTGGTGAGTGGTGATATCTATTAATATTTGTGCCACTTCTAACGGCAGTCCCTTGGATCTGGTCATCCCTCGCCACCTTTCTGGATTTATTTCGAACTCTGCAGAAGAGAAGAGGGAGTACTAGTGTTACATCACGTTTTCGTACGTAAAATTTCGCCTTCAAGTTAACCAACATAGACTCGGAGATGAGATCATCTTGATGTTAACGTACTTATACTATTTATAACAAGCGATGAATAAGTGTTATGAAGGATAAAGAGTACACGAATTAACGAAAACGAGTTTTGTTGGCAATGGCCAATTAGGATAAAATACGGGTCGAGCGATAGTATCCAATAATTATAAATTAGTACTATGCAAGGTACCATATGACCACGGTAGTGTAATATGTGAAGTATTTTGAAAATAAATAAAATTTTAAGTAATTTGTGATAATTTTTAAATTATGCGGGTAATGGATTAATTATCGAGTAATGAAATATTACCCGGTTAACTAATAAGTGGATAAATTAAAATCGTGGCAGCCATGCCACTTCCAAACAATGACTCAGTCATTTTTGGGGTTAGGTGGCATAATGTCACATTTCACACTTTTTAAAGGAATTTTTACATTTGTATGCCATATAGTAAACTATATTACCCCATGCTTAACTTTTAATATAATTATCTTTTATATACCTAATTACCATTTATGTACATTTTAGGGGTTTTAATGGTATTAATTAGTCTCCTAATTTAACTCTATTGTATATTCCCACTCCCCCCAAGTTTCTCTCTTCAAACCCACCCTCTCACCCACGTATCAAACCACACCCCACGATTTCTTCTTCAATCACCCACTATTTCCTCTTCTAAAACCAGCGAAAATCTGTAACCCCTCCACCATTCACAACCATTAAAAAGATTTAAAGCTTTGAATTCGAATTTGGGTTTTAAAAAAATATTGTTTGTTTGGATTGGATGTTGCAAAGAATTGAGAATTCTCTCTACATCTCTCTCTATCTCTCAATCCCAAATTTCAGTAATATAAAGCAAAGGAAAAGAGAGCAGCAATTCCACCATTGACAACCATTAAAAAGCTTTGAATTCGAATTTGGGTTTTCAAAAATCATTATTTGTTAGGATTTTGTGTTGTTGCAAATAATTGGAAATATGGTTTGGAGTATATATCTCAATATTTTGAGGGGTTTTGGTGAAGATTAGACTTGATTTTGGCTGAATTTCAGATTGAAACTCGAAGAAGAAGACATGACATACATTATATTGCAGAAATTGTAGAAAAATTGTATTTTGTTGTTTATTTATTTTTCTTTTATTCATTTAACTATTGTATGAAAGTTGAACAACATTGTATAAAAATTGTATTTAAGTAGTATTATATTATAGTTGTATATAACTGAGTAGAAATAATATACGAAAATTATAGATAAGTTGTATAATATATTAAGAAGCCAAATTATTTCAATCAGATACGACACTCTTCCAAAATCAGTATGCATAAACAAATCACAAGTTTTCAATAAACAAATCACAAGTTTTGTATAATAAAGATGATTAGGAATAATTTCAAATCTTTGCAAAAGAAAGTTGGGAGCACGATAAAGATATATAGGTGTCAGCATGTTGACAATAGACAATTGAGACTTCCATTAATAGTAAGTCAATAGCACATGCACAGTTGAATAGTCTTTGCTGAGATAAAGTCAAACAAGAACACATAGACCAAGTCAGTTGACCCAGAAAAATTCATAGGTATTTTAAAGATCCACCGAATTGTGACATATGAGTGGAAACATAAGGAAAGAGAAGAGGAGGAAAAAAAGGAGAAATGGTGTAACTAAATCCCTTAATTGAAAGCACTAATAATGGATTGCGAGCCTTTTAAGGTGGAATGTAATGTATATATTTTGTTAACAAAACTTGTGTAGGTAGGGTAATTTACTAAACATGAACATTTAGGGTAATATAGTTTATTATATGGCATAGGAATGTAAAAATTCCTTTTTTAAAAATCTTCCATATACACTAAGACTAACCCATTAGAATGAATATCATTCTTACACAAAGACTCCCTTCAACCATAACCCAAACATTAGCCATTGAATACAGAACATCTTCAACCAAGATTTTTAAATCCATAACTTTAGCAAGACTTGATTAACTTAAGTAAAATACTCCTTTCTGATTCTTGGTAACATTTAAAAGACACTTTGTCTTTAAGAACAAAAAAACATTCAACAACAGAATTGAAATCATAATTTTTCCAAAATTTCAAGACCAAGCGAAGTTCGTCCAATTTCAAAGAAATCCAGTGTAAATTTCGCAGAAGCAGATTTGTTCAAGTAATTCCAGGAACAAGTATGTTAAAGCCCTCCCTTCTTTCTTTTGGCATGGTCCAAATTATATTGAAGAAACGAGAAAATACACTCTTCTATAAATTGCTCTATTCATAGAAATAGTAGGGGTGTCTATATTCTTGATTCCCCATGAGAATTATTAATATCTTCTGTTCATGGGTCTCAGAATAATACGCAATTGGAAAAGTTTATCCAGAAGGAATATCGAAATTATTATGTATTTTTCATGCATTTCACTCATTTACACATGTGCATTCCCATGACCGGATGACGTTATATACGCGTATATATGTAAATATATGTATATGGGATATGGGAACAGGTTACGTCGTTATATACACACCACCACCTGATCAGCTGGTATATGATAATGATGTTGCCCACAGTGGCTGAAATATGATTCAAACGACGTTATATACACGTATATATGTATGTATATGTATATGGGATATGGAAAAGGTTATGGCGTTATATACGCACCACCACCTGATCAGCTGGTACATGTTGATGATGTTGCCTATAGTGGCCGAGACGATATGATGGGATGCCCTCAATGGCTTGATGATATTATGTACACACATACCTATGCATGGCACGACATTTATACGCATGTGCATGATATTATAAACGTTTCAAAATTTACAGAGTTATTCAGGTTTAAAGGTATTTCTGTATTCCATGTCTCATCTATGTCTTTTACATACTTATTTTCATGCCTTACATACTCAGTGCATTTTTCGTACTAGCGCCTTATTTCACGGAGCCTGCGTTTCATGCCCGCAGGTGCAGGTAGGCAAACTGACGGTCCCCCTTCCTAGGATTCTTGATCAACGAGAGTTGGCGTGCTCCACTTGACCCGGAGTTGCTTTTGGTTTTGGTACGATACNTATGTCTAGTTGGGTTGTATGTAGCCTTATCGGCTTTCAATTTTGGATGTATAATTGTCTATAGCAGTCTTGCCGGTTCGCCCACTGTATTCTTCCTGTATACGTACATATGTTTTGATGGCAGGTTTCTTTCACATATGTTATTTTCGTAATGCAGCAGATGTTATACAGGTTCATATCGTAGACACATGCTTAGGGGTGTTTGACAGATAGGACTCAGGCACCCGTCGCCGCCCATCGGTTTGGGTCATGATAAAAGTTTTATAAGAGCAGTTCTATCCTAAGGTTGTCTACAGACCGTGTCTAGTAGAGTCTTGTTTATAGGTGTGTCGTGCACCACACTTATAGGCAGGAGGTTACAGGACATATAGGATGTTATCCTCTCTTCTTATCTTAGATCGTGCGATATAAGTATTCATGTTCCTAACGATGTGTTACGTTTTCAGTGATGCCTCCGAAGACTACAACAACTAGCATGGGTCAGAAGGCTACGAAGGTGTTAGAAAGAGAGATAAGTTATACTATGGATTCATACCCATTGGAGATAATGGGTTCTATTGAGGAGGATCCATATGAGTCATTCGTTCGAGTTGTTTCGACCACTCCGGCAGTAGATGGGGTGAGAGGAGTTCCGCCCTTGCCAAGGCCCTTAGTTTCATTATCACAGCTTGTTGATTAGGGTATGAGGGGAGTAATGCATGGATTGGCACAACCGGGATTCCCTCAGGCTCAAAATTATGTCATGGCATTTGCGGACACCAGCTCTTCTGAGGTTCCAGATAGTCCACAGTCTTGGGAGTCCATCAATCAAGGTTCGCCAGTGTATGTTATGGGATATGTAGAGGAAGAGGATAGTAGCCGGGCCAAGAGGAGGAAGGTAATCGATAAGGATATGAAGGTTCCGCTTCGAAGTGTTTCTGATCAAGGTTTTTATATAGGACGAGGCAAGGACCCTCTACTGTAGACTTCCTCCAAGTGTCAGTTTTTGATTGGTGACTTCCACCTCTTCTTAGAATATTACCAAGTCAGGGTTCTAAATGTGTTAGGTTGTTTTATGAGGACGTAGAGAGCCCCATCCCGACTTGTATATATTATGGTTATGCCTACTTAGAGGTTTTGAAGACATTATCCCGTATATAGTTTTGGGTATGGCATGTCTACGGCCTAGTCGACCGCTATGTATATAAACCTTTTTGTAAATTAGTTATGCAAGTTATGTTTTAATATTGTTACCTATATATATGGATGTGGCCCGAAGTGGCCCGTGATAGATTTGATAATAAACAAGGATAATATACGTGGTGTTCGGTTGGGTAGGACTTGATATTATAGTAGGTAAGGATGTATTGGCCTCTTGTTATGCTAATATCAAGTGTAGATCAAAGATGGTTTGATTTCAGTTTCCTGGAGAGCCTGTTTTAGAATGGCAAGGTAATACTGCATTGCCAAATGTAAATTTATCTCCTATCTCAAGGCAAGGAAGATGATCAGAAAGGACTATATTATCACTGAGTTTGGGTTTAGGATGTGGAAGTAGAGTTACCAACCATTAGGTCCATCCATGTGGTGAATGGGTTTCTGGAAGTTTTCCCCGATGAGCTTCCGGGTCTTCCGCAAGAGCGAGAAATTGAGTTTTTTATTGACCTACTACTACCAGATATTCATCCAATATCTATTCTCAT